AGGTAATATACTGTTAGTTATAAAGCAAGAATAGAAGGTAGAAGTGTATGCATGAACATTTACTCTCCTTAATGTCTCTAAATATAGATTTAGAGAGCTTGCCTACAATTTAATTATCCCCACTTTCTTCTCGTACAAATTTTCCATTAATAGCACTTGGTACCTTGAAAAGAAACCTGGTATTGTGGCACATTGAAAATTATAGATTGAAAATTATTGAGGTGTGACTAGAGGTTGACACCTAAAGACTGAATTTCTGATTATTTTTTTCTCTCAGAGCACACATTCAGCTTGTGTTCGCCAAATACAGAAGACTGTGCATGCAGTTATTGATATGGGACCTCTGTTTTCACTAATCATTTGAGGAGTGGTAAAAAAGAAATAGCAGTTGATGCTAAATTAGGCTAAATTTCCTCATTGTTCTTAGTTTTAATTCTCAAGCATTTTGCTATTTCCATTTTGTTATTTTAAAACCTACATGGGTATATCCATAAAGTTATTAGCTGTCCTTTAGATTTATTTATTTTTCAAAAACTCACTTTTGTCCTTTATTTTGCTCATTTAACTTTTACCATACAAATGCAGTCTTTCACATTCCTGTGAAAAATATAAAATATAAAATTTGAAATTTATTTTTAAAACAGGTTTACATATACTGCTTGATTTTAGATGATTTTATGATACCTTTTTCTAAAGGGTTTCTTTGTTTTGCATTATAAAAATAAACATTGTTTTATTCTAATGAAATAAATTCATCTTCCAAATAAGCCCCCTTTTCAAGTTTGTCCTTTATTTTTTCCCAAAAAATATGATCACTGCAATTATAATGTGAGAAAGAAATGAAACATAAGGCTCACTTTTGATCTAATAAACACCACACGTGTATTAATGTATAAAAAGCTGCAAAATTATTTCTTTGCATAGGACTTAGCATGATATGCAAATCAGAAGCCACACATTTTCTGAGGTATTTATACATATTTTTCGCCTCTGTGCATTGCTTTTGAACTTGTCTGTAATTCTAGCAGGAATCAAATTTCAGCTTTATATTTAATTTAATTTAATTAATTAAATTTATATGCTGCCCCTCTCCGAAGACTCAGGGCGGCATATAAATTTGTGGACATATTCATTAAGTCCAAATGTTTTCCCCTTTTCACTGTAACTGAGTCATCCATCTTTATCTCTATTATAGGAAGAAGAAGAAGGGATGTATTATAACAAATTACATAACAAATTATATAATTGCTGATATACATCTCAAGTAGGCATATTCTATTTTCTTTTCCAAGAATTAGAAGATGGAGGGGCTTTTTGTTGTATCAGATTAGAATGTTACAAAGGCTGAGCCAGCAGCCTAAGAATAGTTGAGTAACTGTTTTGAGGGAAGGTCATATCACCTTATGTCTATGCCCTTCATCTTTATTTCTCTTTGTTCCTTGTTTCAACTTAGCCTCCGTTTTCACCATTATGCTTCTCTTACACAAAAATAAATCCTCTGATTCTTCCTTCTTCGCTTCCTCCAAGAATCCTCTTTTGAACAATAGTGGATTTTTGTAAAGAAAAATTTAAGTGGAATAAATGTTAAAATGTTAAATGTTAAAATTTGAGTGGAATAAATGTTAAATTAGATTTTATGGGGAGCCCGCTTTGAAATGTTATTAAAGTAGGACTTATTGTATAGTTTTAAAGTGGAAGGTGGTTTTGAATTGTTGCAATAATGCATAGATATAAAACACTATTATGCTAAATTAGAGTTATTTTATAATAGTTATAGTATAATGTGTTTGTTTTTTTTTGTTTTGTTTTTTTTTCTCTTCTTCTTTTCTGAAATGTATGGATAAAGGGGGATTTATAATACTTTTAGTAAGTAAAGGTCAGTATTTTGAGGAGGGAGTAAGTAATCTGTTATGAATTAGGGTTTTTTTTTGTTACGAAGAAGTCACAGGGGGGGAAGGGTGGGGAGGGGGGGTTAGGGAGGGGGGGGAGGGGGGGGAAAAAAGGGGGAAAAATTTGTATTTGAAAACCTTTTCAATAAAAAAAAAAAAAGAAAAATTTAAGAAATTAATGTAAAGCAAAAGGTCAAGGTTATATTTCTTCTGTATTTTACGGCACTGAAAACAGTTGGAAGTCATCACTTTTTCTTTTTTGGCTTTGCACTTTTCTCTTTCTTTCTCTTTTTTTCTTCTATATTTTATTTTATAATGAAACTTAATAACTAATTCCTCAACCAGCCTTCAATTGAGGGAAACTTTAAAGAGGCTTTTGGAGAACACAGGCATTCCTCTCAAGAGGGAGATAGGGTACAGTATACTTTTTCCTGCACATTTTCTATAAATCTTTTAAAGACAAAATATAGCTTCACAATATTTGAGATGCCTTTTAGCGTCTGCTTTGCATATGTGCTAAATTTGTCTTGCATATGTGCTAAATTTGTCATGTGAAGTCCTTTGCTGTGAACAAATATACTGCACATATGCATATTTATATGAATGTGTTTATGTGTGTGTGTATATACTGTGTGTGTGTGTGGGACGCGGTTGCTCAGTGGCTAAGACACTGAACTTGTCGATCAGAAGGTCAGCAGTTCAGCAGTTTAAATCCCTAGCGCCGCGTAATGGAGTAAGCTTCCGTTACTTGTCCCAGCTTCTTCCAACCTAGCAGTTCGAAAGCACGCAAAAAATGCAAGTAGAAAAATAGGGACCACTTTGGTGGGAAGGTAACAGTGTTCTGTGCACCTTCGGCATTTAGTCACATGACCACGGAGATGTCTTCGGACAGTGCTGGCTCTTCGGCTTAGAAACGGAGATGAGCACCACCCCCAGAAACAACTAGCACGCACGTGCGGTGGAACCTTTACTTTTACTATAACTATATATATACACACACATCTACTTTATGTGTGTATAAAACAGAACTTACTGATCAAGCTACTAGAAAGATTCTGCTTTCCAAAAGAATTACATTTAAAAAATGGTAACTTTAAACCTCTTAAAGATATGCATTTAACATTTAGTTTTAATGCTTTTTGCTTTCATATGTTGGTGCTAAAATACTGATGTTTTCCACTGATACGACAGAACTACTTACATGGAGATGAAGCTAAGGTGACCTACTGGCACCACATATCTTACTTGACTAAATAGAGTTTCTCCATTTTTGTGAGAGACCATGTAATTTTAGAGTTAATCCAATGATGGCCACATATAGATTTGTGTTTTAGGTTACTGGAAGAAAGTATTTGTTACAAATATTGACATTTCTTGGCATGTTGTTAGTAGTTTATCTCCTGCTTGATTTTTTAAAACAGGACCACATTTTCCTGTTATTCCAGATGTTATTTTACTTCCACTATGAACTTTTCTACCTCCTATAATTAATATTTTTGGAAGGGAGTTGTTATCCTATGATACTGCATGTCAGCATAAAACCATTCAGGTTCCTTATTAATAAGAAAATATTAATATTAATAATAAATACTACTTAGCCTTGGAACATAGTATTTCGCAGCCTAAAGCTCTTAGTATTTTATTCAACCATATTCATTCAGTTAATTAGCACTAGTTATTAATTTATATATCTTCACTATTCTCTTTCAATCTTATGTTCTTCCCAAAATCACTCAGCCTTTATAGCTTTCGAGCATTTCCAATTTTGAGGATTTTCTATCACCATCAAATGCCTATTTTTAAAATAAAGGGATTTTTTTTCTTCATTTTGATAAATGTGCAGATCCTACCTAAGTCTGCAAGCACTACTGTGAAGAGATGATGTCATATTTGCTGACATAATGATTGTAACTGTAAAGCTTAATTAGCTGTATATTTAATAATGTATTTACCAAACTTCCAAGATTTGTGGTAGGAATGTGATATATAAACTGTAGACAGCAGAATAGTTTGAATAAGAAGAAAATGGACCTGGGGTACAAACTTCTCTTTAGATAATTACAAACATCGGTTCTAATGCATTCTCTTTTATAACATTAGCTAATTTTGCCAAGGTTTAATGTTCAAACCACCCAATTTTTAAACATTTCCTTTCCAAATGCAAATGGCATTGACACTACACTCCTTAGGAAATGACAAACTGCCCTGAATGTTTGTCTTCCTTACATAAACAACTTAAAATAAGCTCCCTCAGTATCTTTTAATTGTATGGCTGCTTAGGTTATCCTGTTATTTCATATGGACTCTAATCATCAGGCCAATTATTTTCGACAGTTTCATTCCGCTCAATTATTTTCAAAGAACATAATTATCCCCATCATGTGTTTTTTGAAACATAAATATCAGCATTAAGACTTGAACCCAACAATCACTTTGGTAAAAGAAGTTCAGTTCAGTTAGGATTATTTATTTCTGCTATGTTATTATAAAGAGCCCTTATTACCAAGAACATGGCCATCACAGTCTGTGACAAGTGCCTTTGGCCTGAACAGCATGCTGAAATCATGTGGGGTGGCACTATTTTTTCTTTTTCTAGTGTTTTCATACCATGCTCATACATACACTTCTAGATGCCAGCTGATGCCATTTCATACATCTTCCTTACCAACTGGGATTACATTTCTTTCAAACCAAAAAAAGGAGGTGACAATTTGCTCTTTCTTATCAAGGTGTAGCTATGGGCACTGGGGTGCAAGAAGAGAGAAAAGAGAATCTTCTTTCTTCTTAGTCTACACAGTGTTGGATACAGTATAGTCTACAGTGTAGTCTACACAGACTGCCTGTTGGATGTATCAGTTACCCTCAACATAATTTAAATTCTAGAAGGAAAGTATTTTCCGTGGGATGTTAACAAGAGATCATATTTCCCTTCTAACAAAAATATGGCAAAAGTTGGAGGTTTATAGCAACATTCATTCATTCATTCAATCATGCATTCAATTTCTATAGCCACTCAACTCAACCAAGTGACTCATAGATGGACAATTGACAGTAACCTGAATACATTTCTCTATGTTGATCTTTCCATCATTTGGATTATCTTCTTTGCAGATCTGTACCCCAGATTTGGTGGTCCACTTGTCCTGCTCAAATCAACGGCTCCAAGAACGCCTAATGAAACGCGCCGAACAGCAGGGGAGGCCAGATGATAATCTGAAAGCCACACAGAGACGCCTGACTAATTTCAAACAGAATGCTGTTCCGCTGGTCAAATATTTCCAGGAAAAGGGTCTGATAGTGACTGTAAGTTTTAAAATCTATATGCTTGATAAATTATTTTTGGCTAGCAAATTTCAGGCAATGATAGTCTGACTTAGAAAAAGATTGTCTCATGCTTTTGAGAATAACTGTTTAAATCATTAAAAGTCCCCCCCCCACCATGTTTGATTGAGGGCTTCTGCTTTCAGGCTCTCAAAGACTAAGAGGCCCCAATTGGTTTTTATAGCTGTTTCATGCTCACCTGGATGCATAATTTATTCAGCAATTGCTTTTTTGATCAAAGCCCTTTCTGTTAGAGCAGAAATATTTTTGAGCCATCATTGTTGTTTTACAACACCCACAAAAGTTCCTCTCAGAGAATCTGATAAGTCATTTGATGAAAGAGCAGTGTTCAGATGGAAATGGTCTGTGTCAATTCGTTTTTGCGCTTGGGATCAGCAGCAGAAAAATTGTGGCCAAATTTAGGGATGCTATAAACTACCTCAGTATATTTCAACCTTTTCAGCTTGCTGGACAATTCTGGCAGCTGAGGTCCACATGTCTGAGGCTGAGAAACGCTGAGCTATAGAATACATTTTGAGCTGGACACTAATTTGGAATGAATACAGCCATTCTGTTAATATGAATTACAACTAGTTCTCGTTAAATGACTGCAGCAAGCAATGAAAAAATGCTTTTCATATATGGCCAGTCTTCGCATTGATGACCTTCAGAGATCTGTAAAACAGGCGAAAGCTGAAGTAAAATCATAAGCACAGTTGTAGTTTCAATTGGCAACTGTTTCAATTTTATGACCAATTAGCTGGTCCCAACTCTGGTCGCTAAATAAAGGCTACCTGTATGTTGAACGTACATCTTATTTTCAGATTCTGCTTGGTGTTAACAGTACATTTATGCCGCAATTATAATTCTGTCCAGAACTCAAAAGCAAGAGTCAGCAAGTCTGGAAAAGATAATGTTCCATACTTGCTATATAGCATCAGACAAAGCATAATATGGCTCTTGTTTAATTTAAAATATTATTGTAAGCAATAAATATATTGCTTAGATGTAGACCTGGAAATAAATCACAATGTTGTTCCTGTTTGTAAAAGAATGGATTGTTATAAGAGGAATTCTATAGCTCTTTCAAATCAATTCTTCTTTATAAAAGAAACCAGAAGTGCCAAGCAAGAAGCTCGGTGAAATATTATAAGAGAACAGGCTGAGAGCAGCAAAAAACGATCTTTTGGCCAGTAAGAGATCTGTCAAAAGGTTGGAATATCTGTACGAGTCTGCAGAAAGATTTTCTTCAGCTCTGCAAAAAGGGGGAGGAAAACGAGGATGGTTCTGATCTCAAGCTGTATTCCAATTTTGCATTGCTTAGACCAGGGATCTCCAACCTTGGCAACTTAAGACTTGTAGACTTCAACTCCCAGAATTCCTCAGCCAGCTTTGCTTTGATAGTTCAGCTAATTAACAAACAAATCAAGCCCTTTTATCTCTTTGATAATTGCAGTTGAACCTAAGGAGAAATTCATCTAGCATGGATGGGAAACTTCTGCTCCTCAAGTTATTCCCAAATTACCTCTTCTCAGTATCTCTAACAATTGGTCATATTAGATGGGAATGATGCGTTGTCCACAACACTGAAAGGCTACACTAATGTTGGGGTTTTTTTCTCTCTTCCTGAAAATCAAAGAGCAAATTAAAAAGCAGCTATAATTTTTTTTAAAAAAATCCTGGCTTTAGGCAAAAGACTGGGTCGTCATCTACCCATGTCTAATACTGAGTTAACAGCCTCAATGGATTTTACTTTGTTTTTGAGACCATACCAAAACAAACAAAACAAAATTCCCAAATATTACATTGGAAGACACAGTACATTGTCTTGTGATTTTTTTGAAAACATTTGATTGCTCCAGTATTTATTCATTGTATTGGAAAATGGTGTTTCAAAACTCCATCTTTAACCCAAGCAGCAGAGCAGGCTCAAATATTCTGTAAATAAGAAGTAAATATGGTTATGCCTATATCAAAAGTTCAGATACTAGACATAATAATATATAATATAATACAGTTTGAAATTGATGAAGTTGATGATTCTCTGCTTTGGACATTTATCATATATAGATAGTCCTCAAAGTACGACCTCAATTGAACTCAAAATTTCTGTTGCTAAGCGAGACATTTGTTAAGTGAATTTTGCCACATTTTACATTCTGTCTTGCCACAGTTGTTAAGTGAATCACTGCAGTTTTTAAGTTAGTAACTTGGTTATTAAGTGAATCTGGCTTTCCTAATGATTTTGCTGGTCAGAAGGTCACAAAACGAGGTCACATGACACCGGGATACTGCAACCCTAATAAATACGAATCAGTTGCCAAGCATCTGAATTTTGATCACATGACCACGGGAATGGTGCAACGGTCATAAGTGTGAAAAACGGTCACGAGTCACTTTTTTCAGTGCCGTTGTAACTTTGAATGGTCACTAAATGAACTGTTGTAAGTCAAGGACTACCTGTAATCTTTATTGTTATAGTTACTGACCACAGCATTTGGAGAATTGTTATAAAAAGTTACGAAGTTCAAATGAAAAAGCACAAGCATTTCCAAAATCAATAGAAAGAATAATAAATTATTCATAATAATCTTAAATAAATAGGATCTTAATTTTAAAACAATTTCAAGAAGTAGTAAAAATACCAAGACTATAAAATTAAAGCAATAAAATTGCTTAAAAATACTAAAAAACCTGCTTATTAAATGCTAAACTGCTCAGCATATATACAAATAGAAATGCAAACTATAGAAATGTAAACTAAATTATATATTTGAGGGATCCTAAAGGTTAAAGGAGTTTTCCCTCCCTCCCTCTTTCTTTCCCTCCCTCTCTCTCTCTCCTCTCTCCCTCCCTCCCCCCTCTCTCTGAGTCTGTGTGTCAGATACCTTAAAAGTCTTCTTTAATTCTGCTGAAGTATTTACAATAGCATTTTCCAATAATACCAATAAAAGGAATAACTGTCCTAGTTCCTTTGTAAAACCAAGAGGAATAATCTACTAAAGGATTAGTTAACTATATCTTGGAGCACTATGATGTTATGGCAACCATTTGCTTTCCTGTTCCAGCTGTAGCACACAAAAATGAAAAATGAAAGGAGTTCAACCATGTAATTAAAGTAAAAAGAAGAAGAAGCTACCTACAGTACATTGGGATTCATAAACCCAGGATATGCAAAGTATTGGTCCTGAAGAATCTTTTTATAAACAAACATGTTCAAATAAACCAACAAACAAAACCTGCATCTTTGCAACTCCTCTTTGAGTTGCAAAGTTCCAGGTTTTGAAATTAAGGTCCTTCCTTGATTAAGGGGGAAAAAAACTTTTATTTAGGCAAGCAATTGGTAACATTAAAAAAAAAGGACCATAGAGAAAGAAGCCTATTCAGTGATGATTAGTAGTAGCAGCTATAAATTATCTTTGATATCAAAAGTATGATTTTCAATACCAGTTGTGCAGAACATGAACAAGAGAATATTATTGCAGTTGTGTCCTGTCTGATGACTACTAACAACCATCCAGCTGCATGCTGTGGCAACACAATCGTTAGATTGGGCTTATGTTGAGCATTTTATCTAGGCCCAGTCAGTGGTAGGTTTCAAAATTTTTTACTGCCGGTTCTGTGGGTGTGGCTTGGTGGGAGTGGCATGGCTTGGTAGGCATGGCTTGGTGGGCCTAGCAGGGAAAGGACACTGTAAAATCTCCATTCCCACCCCAATCCAGAGGAAGGATACTGCAAAATCTCCATTCCTTCCCCACTCCAGGGGAAGGTTACTGCAAAATCCCCATTTCTTCTTGATCAGTTGGGACTCGGGAGGCAGAGAATAGATGAGGAAGGGGCCAGTCAGAATTTTTACTACCGGTTCTCCGAACTACACAAAATTTCTGCTACCGGTTCTCCAGAACTGGTCAGAACCTGCTGAAACCCACCTCTGGGCCCAGTTAAAGACATTCCTGGTTGTTTATAGTATTTTGCTCAATGCTAGAGCCCTAGGAAGGTTTTATCAACTAATCATTGGATGCTGTAGTCAGCTATTCGTTACTTTAGAAATAAAGCAAGGATGAATGATGGCAGATCTACAGATTTCATTTGGGAAGTTACATCGCCTTTCCTCATGTTAAGAATTTAGTGTCAAGAAGCCAAAGGCAAAACTTCCAATTTTCCAGGGATACTGTACAGCTTTTTGAATATTTTGAACTACAGATTTTCCTTAGACTTTCAGCAAGGAAGATTTATTTATTATTTATTTAATATAAAAAGACTGAGCTAAATAAAAACTGTCAGACACCAGTTTGGGGAATGTTATTATAAAACAACTATACTATACATTTTAAAGATAAAGATCAGCTTTTTTAAGGATGTTTCTTTGCACAGAAAAGATAGAAATTGTATTTGTGAAAGTCAACAGATAGCAGTATATTGTAAAGTAGATTCAGGAGGCATTATATCAGGGGTGGTATTACGCTTATCTTCGCTACCGGTTCGCAACTGGGAGTGCAAGCACCACCTTCGTGCATGGACAGGATCTTCTGTGCATGCGCAGAGCATCAAAAACAGGATATGATGACGTCTGGGCAGGTGGGTGGAGCCTCCCACAGCCGCTGCTACTGGTTTGGCCGAACCGGATAGTGCACCATTGCATTATATCTAGGTACATATCTCTGGCAGTTATAAGTTTCAGTTTGCCAAGTGAAAATGATAGAAACGGTATTAGGCTTCCCAAGGACTTTTAGTAGTCTTGATGTTTTCTTTGTAAGATTCTTTTAGAAAAATTAGAGAATTATACCTCTTGGAAATCATTTTAATATTGTTTTCTGATGTTGATGACAATTTTTTGCCAGTCATTTCTGGTTGGTGCAAAATAGTAATCAGGTCTTGAAATATTGTTTCTTTTATCAAAGAGATATCTAGCCAGTTTCTCTACTCTTTAGTTAGATTCTTTAGAGGGCTTTTTGTCTGTTAGAGAAAGATGCATCCTTTAA